GTTTTATTAAAATTTAAGGATAGCAGGTTAGCTTCAAACCATTTGTTTATGGCTAAGAATTGTTTATTCATATTAATTTCCAAATTATGAGGGCTCGAATCGGATATTATGATACTAGTATCGTCAGCGAATAAAATAATCTTCGCATTATTTGTTATTACTTTGGGTAAGTCATTAATATACAATAAGAAAAATAAAGGACCTAATATAGAGCCTTGTGGGACACCATATTTGATGATCTCCCAATCAGAAAAGGTGGTATTATAGGTTGTCCTATTATTTAATACTACCTTTTGGTATCTATTGTTCAAATAAGACTTGATTAATTTTTTAAATACTCCATTTATCCCATAGTATCCCAGTTTATTTAAAAATATTTCGTGGTTAACACAGTCAAATGCTTTCTTCAGGTCACAGAAAATGCCCCCAATAGTTAATTTATTGTTCATGGCTACTAAAATTTCATTTAATAATTTAAAAGAGGCCCTATTTGTTGTAGAGTTTTTTCTAAATCCATATTGATCACTAGCAAGTATCTTATTTTGTATTAGATGCTGGTTAAGCCTTGAATATATTACCTTTTCAAATACCTTAGAGAAAGCCGGTAACAAAGATATTGGTCTATAGTTAGAGATGTTAAGTTTATCCCCACTTTTAAATACTGGTTTTACTATTGAAAATTTCAGTCTAGTTGGGTAAATTCCTGAAGAAAGAGATTTATTTACAATATATGTTAGCGGAGAACTAATAAATAGGGCACTAGCTTTCAATATTGCGACAGGTATCTCATCATAACCATGGGAGTATTTGGCTTTTAAGGATTTGATGATTCCTTCTATCTCATGGGTAGAGGCATGCTTAGGTCGAATATTTGACAGCGGACTCGTGAACATTGAGGACATATAATTTAAATAGTTATCATGCATAGGCTGCCCAGTTTTACTAATACTTATATTATCAATAATATCCTCAGCAACTGTTACAAAATAATCATTAAGATTTTTTGCCATGATTTGTTGGTCGGAAGTTATAATACCCTTAATATCAAGGGATTGAATGTCTACTTTATCTTCTTTATTCCCAATTTCAGTTTTGATTATGTTCCAAATAGTTTTTTATTTATTTTTAGAGTCTATAATCCTCCTGTCGTAGTGAAATTTTTAGCCGCTTTGATGACATTAGTTAGAATTTTACAGTATTGTTTGTAATGTTCTTTTAATTTAATATCATTACTAGTCCTACGCTGTAAATAAAGATTTCTTTTGTTTCTACATGAAATACGTATTCCTGTAGTTAACCATTCATGAACCTTTGGTTTATTATTTGAAATAAAATATTTCTTCTCAAGTACATAGCTTATATACATGGTTGAATTGAGACAAAAATGAAAAAGACGCATACAGAATAGAGATGGTTCAAACAAGAAAGAGGAATAAAAATATAAAATGGAGTAGTAAGATGAATGTACCAACTGTGTTAGGAATAAATTTAGGCTGTACAGTATACTAAGAATAAGCCCAGTGGCACTCTTCATAGGCTTTTTTGAACACATACAAGTATGTTGATAACCTGATAAACAAAATCCAGGTATAGTGCTTTTGATGTCACTTTAATTGAAACCCTACATTAAGCATAACTGGAAGGGTTATCTCTTCTGGGATATAATGTCATGAAGTCCACTGAAAGTCAATCGAAGTTCGAAGGAACATTTTCATTTCATTTATTCTTTAAATTCAATAAATCCTTTTTGACGAAGCCTAGGATGTTGAACAAGTCACAATGAATTCAAAACATACACAAGAACAGTTCTTAAAATAGAACTCAGTCACATATAGAACAATCGTAAAATGAAATTATACATAGGGATAATCAAAACACAAAAAGTGGAAATTGTCGCCTCCACGTTCAGGATTGAAGAATAAGTCAAGCAAGAAACAGAGAGCAAGCATATCCCTCTTTCTGTTTACTTATTCCTTAATCCTGAAGATGGAGGCTGCATGTTCCTCCAAAATGTCGGTTGGCTTTCAGTGGTCTACATGCCGTGTTATCCAAGAGGTTAGAATTTTTCATAAGCACCGCTGTGAGAACCTAAAATCCTAAAGCCCAAATTAAATTTTTCTTTCTTATTAAATGTTTAGCAAATGAACAGATGATTCCAGACAAGATAAGAGGCATGTTTCGGACAAATCTTGGAAATTAAAATTATACATAAAAAGTCCCAATCAGCAAGCTAATAGCATTTATTCAAGATGCAAGATTTCCAATGGGTTAGACTATAGAATGAACAGTTGTTCAGTGAGTAGCTGGTTGCCCGTCAATTTAAATTCTAATTTTATGATTATGGGAAGCATTATGTGGTAGTGGTAGGCCTCTTTTTATGCGTCTAAGTTTAACCTACAATTAAAGTTGCCTATCTTTTATTATTAAATATGAAACCGTTTTCTGGCATTTGATTATGAAATTTTTTTTTATCTTGAATGGTAGTACGTGGTCGACTATTTTCTTTTTTTAAATATGGCGCGTACAATATTTACAGTGCTGGGAACATACCAGACTTCAAATAATAAAAAATTGGTAGTAAGTGACAGATCTGATACATTGCATAAAGTCCATTGGATATTTATATTTTTAACAATGTTGAAACTTAAAAATCATTGGGCAGATGTCGATTTTCAGAATTCCCTGACGGACAACTGAAGGTCTTCTTTGGACTTCCACAAGGCTTTGGCTAAACTGTTCGCGCTCAATTTTACCCATGATTCATCATTTAAAATGTCTACCACATGTATTGTCTGAAGAAACCTATTGCGCACTTCTTAAATATTTCGTCATATTCTAAGTTTTTAAGGTGACAGGTCAACATAATCAGTCACGAAGCCAAAGTAACAAATAATTCGATCGTATAAATGAGTATTTTAAGAAATACCTTTTCCGATACCATGTTTGTAGATCACGGAAAAACGTCTGTTCTCACGTGCAAAGATTACGACGCAACCAAAACAAATTTAAAAGGAAAGCTGCAGTTTTGAGAGTGAAGAATGTAGAACGTGAGTTGTTTTTGCGTGGGTTTGATAGTTTCGCGGGTCATAGAGATGTGCGTTATGTCACCATTGTAACATTATCTAGGTTGAACTGACATTTATGGGGGAAATGTATGAAAGTGCCCTAATTTTAACTGTATTTTGTTGTCCATGTTTGTGTGACAGTGAAAGTAACCGTGTTTAGAAGTCAAGGTTATGTTAGTGTTTGGTATTTCAAATGTTTAGGAACTGAGTTCTTCCTTTCGTTTTTACAGATTATAAATGATGACCCACATTTGTGTATGGCGTCTACAATCAATGTACTCATGACATGTTTGATGATTCCAATTTATGTGAGTGACGGCACGTATAGGTAACAAGTATATTAATAACCAACTTAATTAATGGTTTTCCCTAATTACAGATTCGCGAAATCCCCTTTTTAATATTCAAGCACTTGAATTTGTTGAATTCGCATAAATAGTTGAAAGTTATGACCTTGAGAATGTTCCCATTGAACTGCACAGCTTATTTTCTACACTGAGTACAGAATTGTATAAATACAGGTAAAAATAATTGTTCTGGATAATTTACGATATATTTTAATCAATGTGTTTCTGTGCCACTATAAAATCTGAAAGTTTCTGTAACATGTAACAGTGAAAAGCAGTAGGCATCACTTTCTATAAGGAAATAATTGATGAAAGCCATTGACATTAATTCCATATGTATAGTGATTGCATATTTGTACCTGAAGGTTGAATATTACATGATGGGTTCATTACAGGGTGTGATGATTGTGAACAAAGTAATGCTGGGGAATGCAGCCATCATGGTGCACTGCATATTGTGTCCGACTCTCCTGTATTGAGTCGGGCACAACAGTCATTGCCCACAATCTTGGAATTCAGACACAGTGAGGACAAAACTCGAGGTAACAGTATGTGTTGGCAAATTAAGGAACACTGCTAGGATGAAGTGACATTTTGTTCTAGATGAAACCAATGGTGGCAACTGATTTGTGGTTCATGGTTGGTAAGCAAAGTGCTGAAAAATATGAGTAAGTTCCAGGTCATAAAGGCTGAACATTATGTATTGCTATTTATTATGTACTTACTAAACAGCCGTTTATCTTTGTCTGTGTTAGTCATTGCTATGATAACTTAAGATGAAAGCAGTACAACATAGTGTTAGTATAATTGCATTGAAATGTGAGTAGCTTACATCAAGGTTACTGAAATTAGCAACTTTGTAACTGCGTTAGATATGATAAGAGAATCTATGATGTGTGACCCCTCTCCCTCTTGGCTTTTATTTGTAAAATTGTATTACATGAAATTAACACTTAACTTTTCTACAATGTTAAACATGGTTGCAGAGAATTTGAAAATGTCACTCTCATGCACTGATGGTTATTGATGAACTGAGCAGTTTTTAAGTAGTCACAGAACTATTGCAGTCAGTAGTTAAGCAGCATCTCATATATGGTTGTAGGTTTGTAATTTCTGGAGTAATAAATTTTCATTTAGGTAATGCAGAATTTATATTCAGGATAGATAGAATGTAGAATAAATATTACTTAAATTATGAAGTGCACTGATTATTAAAAATAATCATTTGATAACAATTCCACGTGTTAAAATATAACCCCTTTCCTTGCCTAATGCAGTAGAACATCGAAATGACTTAAGACTGCACCTAAAACAATAAACTGTAGTAAATGAAATATAATTCAAATTAATTAGTCTCTGAGTCGTGTTATGCATTCAGTACAATTAAATGTTTTAGCGAATTATTAATGGGCCAATCTTTGTACTTTGCAGAAGTTCTCTGTATATGAATGGCATGTGCAGTAACACATTTCTGTTGTCCCCAAGACTGTACTGTAGTTTCTAGCATATATTTTTTCAGTAGTTAAATCGTACTTTATCAGCAATAGCTCTTACTTTATATGCTAGTATCACAGCTATCCAGCTGACTGGAATCTTTGACATCTGTAAAAATAAGTGGTGAGTTTGTCAGGAGTATTTGACTTTTCAGAATTCAAGCGACATAACTGAAAGGACTTTAGGTACAAAAATGTATGTTAATCTTTGTTTAAAAATGTTCCAGTGAAGAGTCGTACAGAAAACATAATAAACGGTTTATGTCCTAAAATTTAATATATGGATATGTTGAGAAATTCATTTAATAGGCATAAATGTTATGTTATCATAACTGAGATGAAAATAAAGGATACCATTAAAGTGGATCTACTGGACGTAGGTTGTGTAGGCCATGCATGAAGACACTGCACACATATTTATAACAGTATTTCAAGCTATTGGATGACCGCCTGGGCCTGGAATGGGGTGCACTCAGCCTTGTGAGGAGCTATTTCAAGGAAAGAGTGGGTCTGATCTAGAAATCCGAAAGTAACGGCCGTGGGGATTCATTGCGCTGACCACACGACACCATCTATCCGCACAAGTTGGCACTAAACTTTGCTGACAAGCGGCTTTTGCTCGGTCAGTATAGTTTGCTTGCGGACTAAAATCACGAAATTTTTTCAAGCCATTGGATGTTTTTATCACCAGACATGAAAACATTGAGATATTATAACATCAGAGAGGCATTTCTTCCATTAGTACTTGAAATTGTCATAAACATTCCTTATAGTTACATTATCATACCATCATACTTCTGCCTAATCCAGATAGAAATAACAAAGAAACATAACCGTGACCAATTTCATATAGTAAAGGGAACAGTTTCAAATATTATGCATGTGGCCCATTACATGAACTTCATTGCTAGGAATGTACAAAATAGCAATCCATCACATAGATTTCATACACATTGTATGTGCAGTTTATAAAATTGATGTAATTTAAGCATAGGGTTCAGTGGCATGCCTTTGTGTTAGCATTGTAATGCTTGGGGATTCTAGTTACTTGTCATAGGGGTTATAATCTGTGTAAATATATTATTTTATAATATTATATTTAAGCATCCTGTTACACTCTACACAATGTATGACACAAACTCCGTCCTAAGTGCAACAATTTATTGTAGTTCTTTTGTCTTCTTTTCTTCTACATTACATGTTTCGGCTGTAAATGGCCATCATCAGGAGCTACAATTTTCTTTAAATTTTAAACTACGTGCAGTGTAACAGCTACGCGAGAGTATACACCTGATGATGGTCATTTACGGCCGAAACATGTAGTGTAGAAGAAAAGAAGACAAAAGAACTACAATAAATTGTTGCACTTAGGACGGAGTTTGTGTCATTATTTTATACTTTACAAAGGGTTTTGTTTGTTACATATAGGTCTTGTGCTGTAGAGAATTTTGTAAGGTAGATTCCTAATGATGTGGTTATAGCAGTTGTTGGATTATTAATGGTGCTCTATCTATTTAGTATCATATGAGATGAGAAACATATGAATAATAATTTAGAAGGAATGTGAAGGGGGTAGCTGTGATCTGTTTGAAGTTACTGTTTTGGTGAAAGAAAAAAAGAGTTGACAGAGCAATATGCCACACTATGTTGCACAGCTGCCCAATGTCTGAGGTATGTTTAATATATACAACATTGGGAGCTGATGGAAAACCTTGGCCACCATAGGAGTAGCCTAGTTGAGATCTGAATATGAACCACCAAACAGAGCTGAATTTGTTCATTGTGAGTAAGTTTAGTTCTATCCTCTGGTTACAGATCTGACCAATTCAGTGATTCACATATGACCACTTATTATGTATTTAAGAGTTAATGAATGATGAATTTTTCCGGTTTTCCACGTTTTTTTCGTACTTCAGACATCTTATTCTTGTATCTATTGTCCAATAATTGTTGAAGTTTGCCAGGGCATGAAATTCAAGGATCATTATTCAAGGAGTATTGTGTATATGGGATGATTTTCTGTTTATGATGGCTAGTTTGGTAATATAAACACTGAATTTTGATAATGTTATAAGTTTCTTGTGCTGCAGGGTTGTCAGTGTTCAGCAAAGAATTCATCAAACGTCGAACACGATTTGGACCTCTTCAGGCTCCCAGAAAGAAGGGTCATGCTTATAGCAGTGCCAGTAACATAGCCGGAAGCGCAACGGCTGGGAGATTGGAATTTCGCCTTTTTAAAGGTGGTAGGGCGAGTGACAAAGGGCCAGTGGTCTGTTTAAACACGGCGCTAGGCAATGAAGATTACTGTAACTGGATGGTATTGGTGGCACCCGCCAGAGACCATCACCAGCAAAACCTTGTTGCATTCCAGTATAATGCCGCTATATACTTTGTTACAATCAAGGTAAGAGGGAACCTTTTTTTTTCATTATACAAAATAGAATGGGCCTTATTTATCCACTTACCAATAATATTTTTATAAAAGGCATACCTCGTGTTAAGGAGCATTTGTAGAGTACTTTATGATGAGAACAAAAGAAAGTTATAAGCAGAAAACTGAAGGGAGATGGAACAGTCAGTGGGTGGCTATTGGATTTCATGGATTATGATGTTCAGGATGTGTAACAAATCAGTGTACTGTATATCACATTTAGAAAACACCTGGATGTTAGTTACATAATGTTGCTGTTGGCATTGAGACTATATATTGTCACCTGATAGGAAGATTAATTAACATGGACAGTTGGTGTGGGCAACCAAAGTATTGAGAAAAAACCCAACCCAGTACCACTGTGTCCAGATGCCACAAATCCGACACACTTGACCTGGGACTGAACCCATGCTCCTGTGGTAGGAAACCAGGGACTACCTGTCTGAGCTGTGGCACAGCCATACCTAAAATGCAGTACACTTAATGACACATTCTGTTTCAAACAAAGCAAAGTAAATATATCACTGATTTAACTCTTTTGTTCCATTTTCCGAAATTGCTGATTTACCAGTGCTTTGTTCAGACTGCCATATCTGACAAAGATCAGGTACTATCACACACTGACAAAACAAAATATTTTGCTTTCAGAATGCCCTTTGAGTATATAGTGTTTTCGTCTGTAATTAGGTAAAAGTAAAGTAAGTAAAGCTATCCCTGTACCAGGCCGTGAAGGCCCGTAGGGTTCTGAGACGCTGAGGGTCCCACATTATCTAGACAGTTGGCTCAAAGGTGGCAGTAAGGTTGTCAGCCTTACACGCCAGCCGCGCTTTACTCCCCAGGAAAATTATTTAATTAATTCCTGGTACTCATTTCTGTTAGAGGCTGAGTAAACCCCAGGGCCTAGTGCAGCTGGAAGGATTAGGTCAACTGAAGAAGATCCAATGCATGTATTTAAAATTTGTGATTCGTTGGACATGTAGATTGCTGCTGCCTTCATTACTGTGAAATATGCAGCTAGTAATGTGCTGAGAAATGGCTGAGCTGGCAAGTAAGCCAGCACTAAATTTACTGGATGTGGTATTGTTAAAAGTTTATAAAGAATAGATGAAGTAAAAAGTACTAATTTCCTTTGGCTCGTTATTGATAGCAGTCTGATTTTTTAGGCATGTATTGTCAACATTTTCACTAACATTATTCCAGTGCGTAATTCAGATACAATCTAATGTAACTGAATTAGAGGACACTATAGGTTACCTTGACTCATTTTGTTTATATTGATTTACCGAATTGTTGCACATAGCCATTGAAACACACTCGGTGACAGTTGCAGACAAGCAGTGCAGAGAGGAGGGATGACCTGTATAGTCAACCAATGACTCTTTGCTGCTGCTTGTACCACTCACCATAAAGTAGTTTCATTTTTTGTCCACAGGCAAATCATACAGTGGTTGACTTGTAGTGATACTGCAATCTTCAAACAATATTACCCCATGTCATAATAAATTGAAAATTTTCGTAATATGTTACCAGTCAGAAGTGAAATATGTTGATTTTTACTTAGGTAGAATTAAGGCAGCATTGCTTATACATTGTAAGTGTTCATGAATTTACAGCCATATTCATTCATAATTAAAACAAAAACTGAAAGCATGCTCATGTGAGCATGAATTAGTTCATTGGCTTGTACTGATAGCACTCAGCTTCAGTGATTCTAGACTTGTTTTGCAACTAAATGTTGGTGCTAGGCTGAAGGTAGGCTGTTATTGTCTGGTAGTTTGGAAGTGGCAGAAGCCTTCAGCAGTGTAGGAAGGCAGGCGGTTCAGTCAACTTTGAGGCAAAATATTTTCAGAATCTTCCTAATAACAGTTGTAAGGATTCTCATATAAAATGGACCTATTCAGAGTCTAAATAAGAAAGTCACCCAATGTCATGTATATTGGTCATGTCAAGATTGTTCTTTATTTTGTTTGCAGGACATTGCACCTGGGGAAGAGCTAAGAGTGTGGTATGCCAAGGAATATGCTGCCATTATGGGGACTAGGCCTTTGGCAAAACCATCTGGTAATTTAGGCTGCTTGAACTTATTTTGAATTCTGAAAAGAACAGTAATTACTTGTAAATCAGTTGCTGGTATCACATCAAAACCAATTTGAAGACATTTTTACCCATAATCAGAAGAGGAGTGTAAACCTGAAATACTGATATTAGAAAATTGCAAGAGAAAAGTGTGATGTTGCATATAGAATTGGCAGTGGAAAGATTAAAGAAAATCTTGGCTGAAACAACAAATAAAATTTCCAGTTTTCATTACTCTTGCTGCGTATGTCCATTATTTAAAATCTTGTCCTTATGAATTACCAAACATATAATTGATCTGTTCTTTTTTCAGATGAGCCTTCTATATTGGAAGAAGAGAATCCACCAACTGTCCGACAGTTGCGTCCAAGGGTTTGCCCTCTTTGTCAGCAGCAGCGCTCATGTTGTACCTGTCCATCTCCTTTGCTACGTGGAAGACAGGCTGCTAGACCATCAAGAAGTGTCCCTGGTACACCAAGGCAGCAGGAAGGGAGAACGAGGAAAGCAGGCAAGGAAGTTTCAAAATACCACCATGAGATAGCACTATGCACCACGTCTGGGATCGAAGCTGCAAGTAGTTCAGAGACTCAGTCATCCTCAGTTTCACCGTCAGCAAGTGGTGGTAGTGCAGTTTCTTGCACAGCAAGTAAACCAGCAAGTACTGATGTTTCAGTGGAAACCCTTACAATTCCAGAGTCTTCTAAAAGTTTAATGACTCATCTTCCGCATGATTCAAGTTATGTGCAGGATGCCCAAACCATGGGAGGGACAGGTTCAGGATCTCCAAGAAGTAATGTCCCCGTAATGTTTGAAAGTATTTTGGAACCCATGTTGCATCATGTAACTAGTGTCACATCCAGCAGAACTGGCACCAGTGTTTCTGAAAGCATTTCTCGTGCACTTCCTGAAAGTGTTCTGAGTTCTGGCGTGCGCAGTGTTGCATCTCGGAAACAGTATAGTTCACAGTCCAGCCCATTGGTTGAAGCATTATGTACCAGTGAAAGGGGAAATACCCCAGCTACTTATACAAGACACATAGTTGAGCCTTCATTAAGTGCAGGAAGAGCCATTTCCAATGAGCAGCTGTCTCCGCCACTTTATTCAGATGTTCACATACTTAAATCACAATTTAGTGATGATAGTGCCTTAGTAAGTACCGGTGAATTTCATTATGCAACAGAAAAAGCGGACAAGAGGAATATAGATATTTCCTCAGTCAGTGCAGTGGGGAGTTCGTCAACCTTATCAAGTACAACTTTGCATATAATTGGTGATGATGTTCCCAAACCCAAAAGAAGGCCTACTTTGGAGACCTTGACAACACCATCCTCTAGCAGGAATGCATTTATGTTACTACGCAGTAGTTTGAGACCAAGGACTTTACGACTCAGTTTGAGAAATAAAATGGAATCAAGTTCTGTTGAAGGTGATCAAAAATTAGACCAGGCAGGGAAGAGATTTCATGAACAAGAAGCAAAACAAAGTGAAGATAAGAGAACCAAAACAAAGAAAGATGTAAAAAATGATGAGAATATTCAGCGGCAGAAAGAGAGAGGTATGAGTGAATCTAGTCAGGAAAAGCAGATTGAAGGAAGCAGTGGTAGTCAGAGTAACAGTGGAGATTTTGCAGTGGAAAATGAGTCTGCATCACAAGGAAAACTTGTAGCTGTTGTTAGGAAGCAGAGTTATGCTTGTCCAGTTCGTCTGACAATGTTTAGAAATCTGATGAAATTAAGCCAGCATGTGGAATCTCATTCTGGTGTAACTGGATCTAGTTTAGCAGTATCAGGCAGTTTGTCGCCAAATCCTGGTGGTGGTAATGGTAGGAAGAAAGGAAGCCACATATGTCATATTTGCTCCAAAGCATTCATTAGTCTAGGAAAGCTAAGTCAACACATAGAATTTCATATAGGCTCCAGTTCCAGCCTTGAGGAATTGGAGATGTCATCTGTTATTACAGGCATCAGAGGAGGCGGAGGAAAGAGGAGAAGTGGCCATACATGCCGTGTGTGTTCAAAAGTGTTTGTGAGCCCAGGCCGATTAAGTAATCACATGTATACTGCCCATCCAGGGTTGAGTAGTTCTGGTTCTAATGTGGGAGAATTGGCAACACCAGGTGTGTCTGCTGTTGCAAGTGTGAGTGGAGTGAAGAAAAAAGGAAACCATATATGCCCAATTTGCTCTAAAGTGTTCGGTAGTCCTGGGAAGCTAAGTCAGCACATGTATTCACATACAGGTGAGCGTCCATTTGCGTGTTCTGAATGCAACAAAGCGTTTTCATCAAAGTTCAAACTAGTACGCCATGCATTGATCCACTCTTCAGATTCTGAACGTCGGTATCGCTGTAATGCTTGTGATCGCAGCTTCCATCGCAAGGATCACCTCCAGAATCATGCGAAGGTGAGTTGAAGTGAGAGCCTTTAAGACTGTGTATCATACTTGATCAGTGTAATGACAATAAAATGAACATAGACTTAAAAATGATTTCAAAGTTGCAAAATATTTTTCAGTCCATGTACAAGTATGTGGTATTTAATTCTTTCATAAGGGACTGATGAACAGAGAACACCAAAAGTACTGGAAGTCCATACCTCATCAAAAACATACGAAGAACATCCTCTGGGAACCCTCTTCTAGCAGAACTAGGGAACTTAACCTAATTAGTAACCAGTTGGGATAGTAGAGGTACTTAAGGTCACTGTCACTTGAAAGGACACCTATTCAAACTGTCAGTAGGAAATAGTCAATGTGTGAAAGGTGCCATGACAGATAAAACAGCCTTACATGTCCTGTATGACTGAGGTTATAGCTGAATTAAGATTTTATCACTTGGGACGCCATTTCTTGCAGCAAGGTGAGTGTTAAAACTCCAATAAGCAAAGTATCGCATTACATTTACAATTTGGGACTGCTAGATTGCTGATCTTACAAATGGGATGCACAGGAGATTATAGATAGTTATGTTTGCAAAAGTCATGTAATTCTTCAAAATGAAGTTATGGTTAATTGAAATGTGACTGATAATTATAAATTATTTCCTTTTAACCACTTGCGTGGGAAGTTTTATGTGCAGTGGTTTAATCTGCCCTGAGTAGTTTTTTCTTCAGCAATATAACTCTAAATAGTTTAGTGGGAACTAGTATTATATTGTATTTGCATCATAGTGCTGAGATTTTGATAGAAAAATGCTTCAAACTATTACTCACCATACTGCAAAAACTTGAAGAAAACCAGTCACAACTTTCCACCTGAGCACATGCAATGGAGAAAAGTTGCATAGATGGCAGGTGCCATGCTGTGTGTCTTGCATGGAGCAGTCATTTAGACAGCAAAATTCCAGCTGTTATGATGGTAGAAGTTCCACCTTTCTAGCACGTTGTGCATGGGAGCTATACAGATTGAAATTATAGTTTTGATTTCAGAAATTCACGTACTCTGACATCAGCAGAAAGAGTTGTTGATTGAGTGACCAAAAATGTGGAAATTAAAAGAACAGAAATAATGAGAAATACATTTCATAACAGACACACGGTTGCTTTCATTTTAGTTATTCAGTCCAGAGCTATGCTGATTTAAACTGTACTGGTAAAGAGACAGCCTTTGGTTTTCATGTTTACGCATTCCTTCCAAAGGTAGGCTGGAAATCCTTTAAAAATTTAAAAGCATAGATGCATATAACAAGGAAATATGGATTTATGTTGCCTTCTCCTTGCCCATTTCTAAACTATGAAAATATTATGAGATTGTGACATGATGCCTGAAAGCCGGAAGTATGCAGTCAGAAAAGCACAACAGAGATGTCTGTTGCTAGACAACAGCTAGGCCAGCATTGTTCCCGCAGAAACGAATTACCATGGCAACTGATACATAGAATAACAGGAACTGTGAGACATGGTGCCCTGTCTGCGGTCCGCACCAAGTTATGAAAGGACACATAAGGAGTGAGTCATACTGAGTAGTAGAAGGCTACAGACTAGAGACCAGTCTGAGAACCAGAGGAAGTACAGTGAGAGATTCATTATCAAGGAGTTCAATGTGTGAACTGTTATAATCAAGTATAATTGTAATAGACATGTCCAATAAATCCAATCATCAAATCTAGAACCCACAATCATTTGTCATGCAGTCTCTTATACATGACAATTTGGTGTCAGAAAGTGGTTACAACTTTAAATTCATGACATTTTGCTGTCAGAATTGGTTGGATTTGATCGATTGGATCGTAATGGATTGATCAATTAGTGGAGTGAAGATTGAATTGTGTAGTTACACTACCACACCATGGAACAATAACAAGCACTGGAAATGGTGGCCATTATGGAGGCTGCGAGAAGGACCAACCCAGAAAAGGCAGAAGCCTACCGTGCAAAGATGGAACAAATGTCCAGAAATCAATGCCTGCCGAGGTATGGGTGAGTCTTTCATCTGATTGAATACTAGGAGAACACTGCAGTGTGCATTAAGAGAAGGTCAGTGTCCATCATGTACATTCGTTTACCTTTCTGTTGTGTGTTTTGATTGACTGGGTAGACTCAGTAGATACATTGCTTATGTACTTCTAGGGAAAAGGCATTCATAATTGGTGTCATGATACTTATTTGATTTGAAATCTGTTTAGTGCTCTTGTAATGGTATCTTATTACTTGCTCTGTTCGGGAAATGGCAGCCATTCATTTCTTGTATGGCCATGCCAGTGGAAGCTCTCATGAAGCATGTCACCTCTATGCAGAACATTATCTACAGTGCAGAATCCCATCCCATGAATTATTCACCAAACTTCACCAGTAACTGAGTGAATCTGGGACCTTTGCTTCACAGGAATTGGATCACGGAAGGTCTTGATCAGTTCAAACACAGGATGTGAAAGTTCACATATTGAGAAGAGTGGAAGAAGATTCTAGAACCAGTGTGCAAAGAATTGAAGCTGCTGAAGGTATCAGTGTTCCACTTGTCTGGATAATTCTTCATGAGCAGTACTTTACCCATAACACATCCAGCAAGTGCATGCCCCCACTCTTGACCATTGTGCAAGGGTGGTGTTTTACAAATGGCTTCTCGCAAAATGTACTGTAAACACACAGTTTGCAGCTAATAGTCTGTTAACTAATGAGGCGGGGTTTGCAAGAAACAGTATTATGAACTTTCTTTAATACCCATGTCTGGGTGGATGACAATCTCCACACCACCGTGGCATCAAGGCATCAACATCAATTTACCACCATTAACTGGGTGGGCAGCTGATCTTACCTAGCAGACTAATAGGAGCAGAATGCCATTGTTTTTCTGTGAATGATTTACCAGTACAGCTGGAATATGTGCGCCATCATCAAGAACACATGTGGTTCATGTATGATGGGGCACTGCCTCATTTTCTCAGCATTGTGAGATAGCATCTGAACCAGACTTTTGGTGAGCATTGGATAGGATGCAGATGCCTAGACAGCTGGCCTGCATGATCCTCTGACCTTTATCCTCTGGAATTTTTCTGTGGGGACACCTGAAGACTGTGGCATATTCAGCACCGATTAATGACTTAGAAATATTAGAGGAATGAGTATAGAATGCCTGTCAGGAGATCCAAGGAGTATGCACCTCTGTGTAATGAAGAGCTGAAAGTTCTGTTGAAATGCATGGGAACCACACAGAGCATCTGTAGAAATCACACGAACATCACGCATACCTCAGTAGGCACTGGCTTGTGGACATAAGTTGACTGGGAATTTTTGCTCATTTAAGGAAGTACTATATCCCGTTAAAGCCTGTAACCCTTTTTTAACATTCTGTATATCTTTCAAATTCATGATGACCAACCTTTAAAAGGGAGGGGGACTCATTTTAGGCTAATATGATGCTGATTCCTTTTGACATGACCCTGTTGCACAAACCTAAAATAGCTATCAGCAAATTCTTTGAGAATGATAAATTAACTTTGAACTTGAGACTTTTTATCTCAATTCTATCTTGAAAATTCTAGACTGCACATGTCTGTACTGTAGTGTTAACATCTGAGAGCTTCCTGAAAACTGTTATCTGATCACTTGTGAGAGGCAGATACTACTCATGTCAACTTGAGTTGACTCCTTAAGCCAAGAACCTGTACATATTACAGTTTTTCTTCATCATCACCCCAGTAAATCATCGAACTGCTACCATGAAGTGAGTGAGCTTATGCATTATATGCTGTCCGACTGTAGTCCCTGTCGCATGTTACTAAGACATTTAGTCATCCTCATTATTCTTGTCTTGAAATGACAGTTTCAAGGTACATATTGGAACAAGTTTCATATACAGTTCTTATATGAAAAATGAGTTTGCTCTAAGTATAAGATCCAGGATGTTATGAAGACAGTGTTGGTACTGAACAAAAAAGAGTGAGTCAAAAATCTGAGTGCGCTCTGAGGAGAAATTGGATGAACTCATTGCTGTGCTTGTATATTATTCCTAGAAATCCCTCAGGTGCTGTATGAAGGAGATCTGGTTTCCAAATTGTCAGCATGAACTGTGTCAGAAATTAAAACAATATGAGACAGGATAGTAAGGTAGCCATAATGCTTAAGCACACTTTGTGTTGGCTATTAATTGATTTATTGGGGCATTACCGAAGAGAAATTTAATTTATCAGGTTTCCTCTCAGTCAGAATCTCCATGGCCTGAATTAACATCAGTAGCCTCAGGCTCTGCTACCTTAATTGTTGAATGATTCTAGGTAGCTCTCAGATAACTGCAGTGCAGTTTCACATAGAACATTTTTTTTCCCCCTGATACCATCATTTGGGGGGCACATGGTAGCGTAGTTGGTTGAGGCACTAATGCTACATGCCGGAAGGTCACAGGTTCAAGTCCCAATGAGGTCATTGGATTTTTTTCAGTTCACCTAATCCTTCCAGCTGCACTATGGCCCTGGGGTCACCTCAGCCTCTAACAGGAATGAGTACCAGGAATTAATTAAATAATTTTCCTAGGAAGTAAAGCACAGCCGGCGCGTAAGGCTGACAACCTTACCGCCATCTTTGAGCCGATTGTCTAGATAATGTGGGACCCTCAATGTCTCACAACCCTATGGGTCTTCATGGTATGGTACAGGGATAGCTTTACTTTTACTTTTTTACTTGTTTTGTACCTTCATTTGTGGTACCTCTGAGCTTCCATATTGCATGGTGGGGGCCTAAGTATTCTCAGCAGTTACAGAGTAGTTAATTTGTCGGAGCTGAGGGATGGGGAGGATGTATGGGAAGATCCACACTGGATGTAGCTGATTTCAAAGCCAAGACTTTTGCTTTCTTTGTTAAAGCAAGGAACACATTCATACATGAAATTCTGGAAGATGGCAAAAAAACTGCAAGTAAATTACAGAAAATATCTGTATGTCATTCCAGCTTTGGTATGCAACTGATTTTGTGTTGTCACCCAGCCATACCAAGTTTAAAGGGAGCATGATGGTTGCTTTGCAGTATTTACTAATATTACAGGCCAAGTTACAAGATTGTTGTGGAAGCATATACTCATTTAATTCTTGCACTTCACGACACAGTGTAATGCTTCAGATTATTCCAAAAATAATCTTAATTTGGGTACAGTCTTACCTTTTTGCCCATTGAAAGCTAACTCTGTGAGTCATATGTGACCACAGCATGGCACATAATCAGATCAAAGGTACGTGCTTAAGATATAGAGGGTAGCTGCAAATATGCTGATTAATCATACATTTCATTCTAAAAAGCTGAAGCTAAGAGGGGTTTTGAGGACATAGACATGATAGGATAGTATTAAATTGATCTTAAAGAAATAGGATGTAAGGTTGTGGGTTGTATTCATGTGGCTTAAGAAAGGGTTTTGTGGACATGGTAATGAATCTTCAGGTTTCATCAAAGAAGAAGAATTGACTGATTGAGCAAGTACTAGCTTTGCAAGAAGGACTTTGTCTGACGGAGTTAGTTAATTGAAACAGATTATATTAAAGTACTGAAAGGCATTTGCTGTTAACTTAGAAGAATGGTTAAAATGTAATTTATATTTTACTTTGTAATGCTGTGAAGTTTTTTTCTTGTAGATAAAGTTATTACGAGTACCAAAGAGGTAAAGAAAGTGCATGCAGTAAAAAATTTAAAGAAGATGAACTAGAAACATGATAAGTGTATATGGTTGCAATTTCCATAGGGTATTTACATTTGGAAATAAGAAATGAAATTGTTGCCTACAGTGATTAATGAACGTAATTAATACTTTTGTTGAAATAATTTTAATGCCATTATTGCATACATTTGAGGAATGAAAATAACTTGTGCTTCTATTTAAATCATTTTCTTCTCATGCACAAAACAATGGAGACATCAGATCCCAGTGGAAGCACTTTATATTTTATCACATTCAGATGATTGGTGTTTAAGTATATGTTTACAGGTTTCAGATTGCAGCTCTGAGGGATACCTAGGTATAGTTGGGAGAATGATAAGAAAATGAGTTTGATTGACTGGATCAAAATATGGTCCAATTTGGGGTTTTTTTGGAGACTGATGAGTGGACAGAGACCATAATATCACTTCCTGACCAGTTTCATAACTAACAATGTTCAGAAATTTCCCTGTACTCTAGAGTTTGTATAATAGGGGCTGACTGGTATAGAATTTTAAAAAGCAAGTCCTGTGAATATTCTTTTAAACAGTTTGTCATCCTTATCAAATATGGAACACACCAAAGTGTCAAAGAACAATGTAATCTAAATAAAGTGTCAAATTGCATACAAGTTGAAAAACAGTAAAGATGTACACAGTGAAACCCCCATGTTAGGTGTCTTTTGAGATCAGTGGATTTGAACAGGGAACTGAGGAAAATCTTAAATGGAGGTAATTTAACACTGAGATTGTTGACTTGGGTTCATTGAAACTGAATGTTAAGTGAGGGAAGCACTTAAATCAACGACCATTAAATGGGGTTCAATTAAATGTGTGTATATATATATACACATACATATATGTTTTCAAACATTTGTAGGTTCATAGTGTGGTCCGTGCACGATGGCGCTGTGATCGTTGTGGCAGAGAATATGGCTCGCCACTTAGTCATCGACGCCATGTGGCATTACATGCTGCCCAAGATGATGGCGCATTAGACTGTGGTGTTTGTGGTCGACACTTCAGTACAACCCCAGATATCCTTCACCATCTCAAGGTATTGTTAATTTCCCCAAGAATTGTTTGAAATATTACTGAAATGATGTATGTAAAACTATGAACTTTATGTGTCCTATAGGCAGAAAAGACAGTAAAGATCTCCAAATAACATAAAACAGGAATTCCCCATGTTTCTGTAGCAGCTGTCATTAAAATATTGAGACTGGAATCTGTGATCTGTAAGATCATAAACATTTTTCCGTCAGTCTGGAAACTACTTCTAATCATGGCATATTTTGTGTGTGCGTGTGTGCGCACGTGCGTGCGTGCGTCATAGCTCAGGCTGTTAATTGCTGACTTCTCATCATAGTGGTCTAGTGGCCTAGCTTCAGTTTCGATGTAATCTGTGTAGGATATGTGATGGACAGAACAGTAATAGGGCAGGTTTTCCTCGGAGCACTTTGGTTTTTCCTTGCAAGTGATTGGCCTGTCGTACTCATCAGGGGCTGGTACTTCAGGTCCATTTGAGACCACAGTATAATTCAGGGGCGTAGGGTACATGGATGTGGTGGAAGCATTGCTTCCCTATAGAAAAGCAACCAAGAACATTTCTGGCAATTTTTCAATTTCAAAAAAATATTTCATACTTCAAAATATTAATTAATCTGAGAACATATATTACATATAATGAGAATATTGCAAGTTTTAATGTGTTACATAGACAATTTATCAGGATAGATCAGTTATTTTCTTCCAAAATGCAGGGAAATTTAAACTGCAACACCCGCGGAAGCAGCAGGTCTTTCGCTTCCACCCTCCCCTGGGTTAACTGGCTGACTCAATGTCAGTGTTGTGTGTAAGTGAGCTATGCGCTATGGTATGCTACCAGCTTCGTGCTTCCAGCAATGTTGTCAGATGTAAGGCACAGTTTGCAGTAGAATAATCTGTGACCTTGCAGTTAAGCGTGCTTACTAGAAATTCGCAGAACCAGGATAGGTTGTCATCACTGGCTTTGATGAACATTGAAAAGTCCTTCCTAAACAAACTGCAGTCCAAACCCATTTTTCTAGATGAGGTTATTGATCTGTTTGCCAAGAAAAACAGAAGAATCGAGCTGAATTATAAACAATAAAGTAAGCATTAATTATATTCCAGGTTCACAGCCCTCTCATTTGATGGCTATAAAATTGTGTTGATAATTATGTGTTATTTTAATATATTACCTTAAATTTAGAATACATATTAAACTATTAGCTGTTTTCTTTTAAATAGAAGATAGAAACTATAGGATATATAGAAAAAATTTATATACACGTATATAAAGTTGCTTCCCTGCTTTCGGTAGTCATGCTACGCCACTGGTATAATTGTACTTGTATCACACCATACCTACAGCTGAACAAGAAGCTAACAACAGTTTTTCTTTTTATGTATGAATACCATGCATGCTGTTTGGAACAGAATCTCATTTGCATCGAAGTTGTGTCATGAATTATCAGCAAGAGTGTGGGTTCTTTTCTCATTTAGTGGCAGGCAATGTTTCTTCACCTGTGCATAAATTTAAGTATGTCAGAAATGAAAATGTTCAGATGTTTTTAGCTCAAAGAGCATAAAATATAACCATTTGCTTTTCAAATATGATTTTAAATTTTACATATTAAAGCGCGGTTGGTATGGCAACTGGATACTGACTAGACAACCGAGGGGTCGGAGTTCATGTCCCAGTGGGGTCAAGAATTTTCAGTTCTCCATGTCATGCAGACCAGCTCTGGGGTCCACCCAACCTCATATCCAATAGGTACTGGGGGCTCTTTCCCCAGGAGTAAAGCGGCCTATACCTTTAACCATACATGTTAAGGTTTAAAAAAATTTTGGCATACCTTTGAGTTCTGATAATAAAGTACTGAGACTAGATATGCAAAATAAGAAAACTAAAATGCTGTAATAGTGCTTATGAGGATAGGAGCTTTATTGTAATCTGCTTGTCGCACCACTCCCACCAATGCCTCATACAGCTTTCAGACTCTGTCCAAAAGTTGCTCTATTGCACTGTATTCTCTTGTGTCTTGATCATCAAATCTTTTACTTTCAAGATTTCTAGTTAGGGAATGAGAAAGTGTCACAGGAAGCAGGATGCTGTCTCACTTGTGGAATATTGTGTTTAGCTAAAACTCACTGTTTAAGTTGGGCTGAGTTGGGAGATGCATTGTCGCGCTGAATTATCTGCTCGTCAGGTTTCCAATTTGACAGGTATTCAAAATGCACTGTATCATGGAGGCATCTTGACTCTTGTAAATATAAATGTTGGGAACATACTCATGAGGCACAATGCCTTTATAATTTAATGAAGCAGTTAACGTTACCTTGGTTTTGCTTTGCATTTTTTGCGTGTCTCTTGATTATGGTGAAGAAAGGGATTTCTGTCGAATAATTACTGCATAGTTTCATGTTACAGCTCTAGACCCATGATTCCTCACCTCTTATGCTGTTTTCTTTTAAGAAGTTATATTGTTTTCTGCACATTATGCAATCAGAAGTCACAGACTGAATTTTTTGGCACCTGTGGTGGCATTTTTAGAATGAACTCGGGTAAGACATTTCTCATTTGCAAATCATTAAGTAACATGGCCTGACATGAGCTATGAAAAAGTCCTATCTCTATATGATTATAAGCTTTCATAATGCCTGTGCTGTGAAGTCTTCTTAGGTAATCATCTATGTTGGTATGGAGTTAATATCCATTTTGTAGACCATCTTGTATCCATCATCAGGGATTAATATGTTGAGTGCCAATGCTGCACATCCTGTTTAGACTCAGTGAATATGCTCTTGTCCTTCCAGCACATTCCACCAGGGGATTAGCGAATTACGTTCAGTGGTGTCATGTCCCATTGTGGACTGCTGGGCAAACAGTAAGGGAAGCCAGGCAGTCAGTCATCACAGTCCATATTGCTTGTCATTGGTCCTTCCTTGGGATATTTTCTGACAGCTCTCCCTTGTATAGTCATGGTTATGGTAAGGTGCCATGAAAGGCTTGGAGGAAATTCTGTATGCCTGTTGAAGTTATTAGTGTGTAGCCTGATCTCTGTGCCCTCCTTCACTGTGGTCAGATGGATGGGGCCATCATCGTGCTATAGCTCAAGCGGTTAGTCGCTGGCTTCCCACCACCGCAGCCCGGGTTCGATCCCGGGTCTGGTCAAGTGGGATTTGTGGTGGACAAAGTGGCGCTGCAAATCTTCATTCCACCAAATTCTCCATCATCATAATCACCCAGGGCAGGTACAATAGGCCAATCAGTGACCACCACGCCGAGTGGACCCAGTTGGATTCCACCCCCAACTAAGCAGATTTGTAATGTTCTCTCAACACTTACCTGATGAGCCCAGATCCTGTGTGGTCATAAGAGCTGAGATGAAGAACTCCTGGATCTCAGGAGGACTTTCATATGGAATGGATGCAGTACAGTAGACATGCACCAGACTGTGAACTCTGGATCGAAGTCACTTTCACAGCAGGAGAAGCGTACTGGGATGGGTGCTGTACCCTGTATGCAGACCACCTGGAACAGAATCAGTAGGGTTCTAGCAAGCTTCGGCATCAAAACTGTGTATGTTCTAACTGAAAAGAGTGCTCATTTCTTGAAAGGTGACCTTGGCTTCATGCACTTTATTCCATGTGAATGAAGCAAGGTGTATGTTGGACAGATGGGCTTCACCATCAGAATGACATATAATAATCATATGTAATGCATGAATCAGCAGCAGCAGATTACAGTATCAAAACAGAGCCATCAGATAAATTTAAGACATCATGGTACTGGCCAGAACAGCAGGGTGTATTCTTACTATATACTCTTCCAGACAAAACAATGCAGGCAGGAAAGTAATCTAAAAATCCTAATAAAGAACAGGGAAATATCAAATGTAAAAAGCACAAATTTCCTGGGGGTAGTAATAGATAGTACCTTGAGCTGGGAATTACATATTGAAAGAACCTGCAGTAGAATTAGCCGTATCCTGTTCATAATTAACAGGCTATCTAAAATACTCAATTTAAATGAAAGAAGAATGCTGTATTATGGTTTGATCTATCCTCATATGTCTTATGGAATAATAGTATGGGGACATAGTGCTAAGACCCTCACTAGAAGAATTTTTGTACTCCTAAAAAAGGGCAGTAAGATACATTGCAGGGCTAAAACATCTTGAATCGTGCAGGGATAGCTCTAGGAATCTAACGATATTAACAGTATACTCACTATATATACAAGAAACAATTCTATATGTAAAAAAAAAGTGTAACTGCACAGTGAATGAACAAATACATACATGTAACACAAGAAATAATAAAGACTATCATATATATGGACACAACTTAGAACTTTATAATAGTAATCCTTCAGTAGCTGGCTGTATCTTTTACAACAAATTGCCTAACAACATAAAAGAAATAGAAAACAAGAATCAGTTCACAAGGGAATTGAAGAAGTTACTTATTCAGAGGTGCTATTACTCAATGGAGGACTATTTGAACGATGAATTCTCGAATATTGGCTACTGATATAAGCAGAAGTATATAGTATATAATGTATAAAATGTTGTATATCTTATATAATTTTTAGTATAAAGATTGTTATAATTTAATGATGTATATTAGCTGAAAGACTTGTCCAATATCATTGTATCATGATCTGCAGGATTAACGAATGAATGAATGAATGAATGAATGGGCTTCTTAATGAAGAAGGCTATTAAGATTTGGCTGCACTATGATAACTTCAACAATGATATGAGGTTCCCCCTAAGCCATACATCAAAAACATCATAAAGAAGGACCAGTGACAAACAGAATGGATTGTGTATGACACAAACTCCGTCCTAAGTACAACAATTTATTGTAGTTCTTTTGTCTTCTTTTCTTCTACACTACATGTTTCGGCTGTAAATGGCCATTATCATATGTATCTCTCTCATGTAGCTGTTACACTGCACATA